AGCATGGAAGATTTCTATGGCCTGGTCAAGAAAAGCAAAGGGCGAGGGGAGAGCCTCCAGCGGCGGAGCCTGAAGAGTCAGGGGGTCTCTCTGGGGCCTGATGCGGAGGCCCTGAATGCTGCTCAGGGGCCGGGGGCCGCCGGGGGCCTGATGGAGAAACGGCAGCTGGAGAGCTGCCTGCTGGAGGCCGGGATGTTGGCGGGGGAGACGGAGAGGAGCCAGGCCGGCATGAGACACAGGTAGGGGGATCTGGAGCGTGGGGGGCGAGCCAGAGGGGACGTCGCCGGGGCCTAGGAATGCTTTTTTAAGTGTCCGTCTCCAGGAGTTGGGGTGGGAGCACTTGCCAAAACTCAGGAAAGAAGGCGTGCTGCTTTTCCCTCTCAGGTGTTGGAAATCTTTTCCTGTCCTAGTGATGTTTGTCCTCCAGATCTCTTGCTCAGGGTGGAGAGACCCTGGAGCTCATCCCCACCACTGAGTCCCCAGTCCCCACCTGTCCTCAACTCTCAGGGACCTGAGCCCTCCACTTTGACTTGCAGCGGGTGTCGATTTATTCCACGTTCTGAGAGGGGCAGGGGCGAAGATGACCCAAATGGAAAATAAGGCCACGAGGCATTTTCCGCACACTAAGCCATCCTGGCTTCCCTTCTCTTGGAAATAAGGTCTTCTGAAGACACCCAGCTTTACGGGGGTGGCAAGGCCGATGGATCAGCCCCACGTGAGACCGGAAACAAGTGAGAAAGGGAGCAAGGCTGCCGGAGGGGGTCTTGTGGGAGGGTGCGCCAGTTAGCCTAGGCCAGGCTGGCTGGCTGGGGAATGATGGGAATTGCAGTCCAACCCCCCTGGAGGACACCAAGTGGGGGGACACTGACGGAGACATAAGCAGGGTCCATGAAATCTCATTCCTGTGTCCAAAAGTGTGGCTTCCCTTTGAACCCGTGTCCAGGCAAGCCCTGGTTCAGGGATTTCTGGCTTCCATCTAGGCGGCTCTGAGCTGGGGAGAGGCTCCATGCAAAGCCGAATTGCCTCTTGCGCCAGCTGCTGGGTGTTGCTTCGGTTTAGCGAGTGGGATACCTCGTGCTGCTGGTTTTGGATCTCTCGAAAGGACTGCGAATGTGTCCCTTACTGAATTGCTGAGTTTGCTGCCAAGGAACCAGTGGGATTTTATTTTAGATTTTCCTCTCCCACCAGAAAAATCTGCCTGATTTTGGAAAATACGCCAAGCCCTCTTCTGTGGTGCCAACGCAGGTCCAAATCCATCCTCACACTCTTCCTCTCCTCCCAACCTACCGTAAAGGGTTGTGGTTGTGGGGAAAACTGGAGAATGCTGTGAGTTCTTAGAGGAGAGGCAGGATATCAGACAGAAAAGAGGATATTTGCTGTCCAGTAGCAAGCAGCAGAATTCGTGGGCTGGATCTGAGCAGGTTATTTCTTCCGCAAAGAGCTGCCTGGTGGATTG